AAATGTTAATCAATATATACTAACAGTTAAGCCTGACAAATGTACGATTTTTTCCACCAGTACCAACCAGAGTGAGAAAATAACATATTTTTTTTTTGTAAAAAGAAACCCAGATAAAAAAAACAGGAAATAATCATAACAGAAATAGGCCTTCCACACCATATGTTATCGTAAATCTTCCATCTCATGACGCTCTTTGAGACTGATCATATAATAAATCATCATTATATGAAGGAACAAAATAAGTTGGGTATGACTACTGTTACTGTAAAAGGAGTGCAGAATGTTATTGCAATTAATTTTATAAGCAAAGTCTACACAACAAGGAATTTTAAGGAAAAGCAAATTATCACAGAAATATAAAGAAAAAGATAATTTAGATACATAAAATTCATTTCAGATAAGCAAGAAATGTTATAAAAAGCATGTGCTATACAATATTTTTCTTTTGTCTCAGTGTGTATAAGCGTAAGCAATTGGAAATAATTCAAATTAAACAAGGCTAGTATTATTTTCTATATGTGGCAATCTTACCCTTCCTCATTGTCATGCATAATAATCCACTCAAATAATTTCTGCCACCCAACCTCTCCACTGTAAATACTGCTGATTGGGAGGGCTTTGTCTTTTTTTTTTTTTTTTTTTTAAAGATGACCGGTAAGGGGATCTTAACCCTTGACTTGGTGTTGTCAGCACCACGCTCAGCCAGTGAGCGAACCGGCCATCCCTATGTGGGATCCGAACCCGGGGCCTTGGTGTTATTAGCACCGCACTCTACCGAGTGAGCCACGGGCCGGCCCGATTGGGAGCGCTTTGTTTCCCACAGGTGAAAGCTTCCATCAGAAGAACCATATTACTAAAATTGAATTAGTCTGTACAGTTATGAGGTCATTTTGGCCTCCTTGAGACATTTAGGCAAAAAAGGGCTTGCTCTATTGCTTCTGGTAATTACTCGTTATTATCAAGGAGAAGCCAAGTTGCTGCTACTTAATGTGAAGCATGGAAAACATTGCCAAGAGTCCAGGGAACATTTAGTAATCCCTGTCCAAAAACAAAACCACAACAGCACAATAAAGGCAGCATCCTTGAAGAATCACACCATCCTGGTTTTGAAATTTTTTGTCACCTCCAAGTTAACAAACACAAGCAAACAAACAAATAACACTGCCCAGTTAAAGGTCTGGCAGTGGCAATGGGGTGGAGTGAATGGTGGAAAACGAATGGAAATTATCTAATGTTTAACATCTGACCAGTTCAGAAAACAAGAAATCCCACTATTCAGGATATTTTCTTTTTTGCTTAGATGTGAGACTAACTATACAAAAGAAAATTGCCAGACCATATTAAAAAATAATTGAAATTAAAAAATAATTGAAATATGACCAACGACCTTCCCCACCCAGCCTGGGAAACCAAACTTGCATCCACAGGAATTAGTCCGAGAAACAAATAACCCCTGGAACAACTGGCCCCATTCAGCCAGGACCTGATTAATAACTTACTGCTTCCCCCATTTTGCCCACACTTCCTACTTGGGATCAACCAGAGAAGGCCAAACATGCACCACTAACCAATCACATAGGATGTCCTATTTCTGATTAACCTCCCTGCAGCTTCCCAATGCCAATAACATCCATTTAGGGCATACCTAATATGTACCCTTTTTCCATTATGAAGCTTTCCCACTCCTCTGCCTGCCTTTAAATATCTACCAAATGAGGGCTTAACTGGTTAGCTCAGTTGATTAGAGCATGAAGCTGATAACACCAAGGTCCAGGGTTCGATCTCTACACCAACCAGCTGCCAAAACACAAACACACACACGCACACAAATCTCTGCCAAATGTAAGAGATGATGAATGACTCCCTTGGCTTAGAAACTTCTGATGAAAAGGCTTTGCTTGTTCCCATTTGGGTCTTTGTATATTTCCACAGTTATGTATGTCTGGAATGAAATCAGGCTACAATTCACTATGTTTCTCATTACCATTAGGATCAATGGTAAAAGGGACAATATAAAATAGATGTGACCACTATAGCAGCTATGTTACAAGGTATCATAATTATCATGGATATCCCACTGATACATGCTTTGAACTGCCATTCATTACAGACCACAGCCTTGGACCAGTTGTGATACACCCAGAGCCCCTTGTGCCTTACTACTCACAGCTGGTTAAATTTATGATGATGTGATGAATCAGAATGGAGTCTCTCAGAATGCAGTTGCCGTTTTTGCTTTGAGTTTCTTTGCTATTTATTCTCACTTTGGTATCTGGGTTTTGTTATTTGCTCCCATGTGATTGGTATACTGGGTAGAATCAGGCCCTTCTTTTTCATCCATTGTCACCAACTTTTGTGTAAATGCTTTCTGCTATGCTGTCTACAAGTGATATCTGGCTTAAGAAGGAGAGTCATATAGTGGGACACAGGCATAGGCCCTATTGGCCTTTTGTTAAAGCTGATCCCACAGACCCACATAATTCCTGTTTTAACTAGACTGGTATCCACTAGTGCATACTTTGCTCTAGGTCACCAATAACCTGGGTGAGATTCTCCTTCCTTCTCAATGTTATGTACTGACAAGAGGTTACTGATGCACAAAGAGCATTCTATCTTGTTCTGCCTGAAGGGTGGGTGTAGCAGAAGGGAGGGGAACTATTGGAATGAGTTTGGACATAGCCACCCAGCAGTTTGGAGTCCCAAGGCCTGACGTACACAAATATAACACTTTTACTTTGCACTGGAAGCTTTCATGA